GGACCGAACAGGAGGAACAATACGCATAACCCCCTGTATGAAGGTGCGAATAGTCAAGGCCGAAACCTGGCCCTTCACCGTACTCAAAGCCAAACCGTGATCCACACCACGTTGCAAAAAGGCAAGAATCCTGTTCACAGAGAACAAACGAGGCGGAAAACCACCCAACTCACACCAGCCAAAATATGCCCTCCACATGCGATGGTAGATCCTCCGAGACACGGCCTTGCGAGCTCTCAGTATTGTAGAAATAACCGCATTCCGATAGACCACGGTCCCTCAATACCTGGCTTTCAACTGCCACGCCGTCAAAGCCAGCGACTGTAAAGAAGGATGGCACACCGGACCCTGGGACAGAAGATCCGGACAAAGCGGCAGACGCCAGGGAACATCTGCGACTAACCACATCCGCATACCACGCCCTCCTTGGCCAATCTGGTGCCACGAGGATGACGGGAATGCCTTCAAATCGCTATAGTGCGTAGAAGATGTGGCAAGAGGTATATTGGAGGGAATGCGTAAATCAGACCGTAATGGTCCCACAGAGCCACCAGGGTATCCACCCAAGGATCCTGGGTCCGGGCTATGTACCGATCGACCTGCTGGTTGAGACGGAGACGCCAAGAGATTCACATCCGGTGTCCCCCAGCGAAGGCAGAGCTGACGAAACACCTCCGGATGCAAGACCCATTCCCCTGGATCCACTGACTGGTGAAGAGAGTCGGCCTGCCAATTGTCCACTCCTGGAATGTACATGGCGGAGAGCCGGAACATGCTCCTCTGCCCAGGAGATAATTCCTGCCACTTCCCGAGCCGCATCCACACTTCTTGTGCAGCCTAATGGTTGATGTAAGACACGGCTGTGGCGTTGTCCGACTGAAATCAGACCGTCTGACCTCGGAGACGGCCCGTCCAATGCAGAATGGAGAGCCGGATCGGCCGAAGTTCCAGCACGTTGATCGAGAGATGGGACTCCAACGACCATCGTCCAGGGGCCCAGGACCGCCCCCCCCCTAGCCTGTGGTGACCACCGTCCAGCGTAGTAGAAGTAAGGATTTGCCCGACACCAGAGCCGGAGACCGAAGCCACCAAATCGCTTTGGTGGCTTCACCCGAGACACCCCGAATAGCCTTGTCCAACGATAAGGGAGACGTGTCCCATTGTGACAAGATGTCCCCCTGTAGAACCCTGGTGGCCACAGGAGCCTGCATGCAAAAACGGATAGTCGACCACCGACACCGACCACCTGCATGCGAACGAAGCTTCAGGAGTTTCTCCAAGGGAAGGAAAACCCGCGCTAGAACAGAACCAGATATTCCAGACGAGTGGACGGCACCAGACAAGACTTCTTGATCCACCCGAACTCTTCCAAGGACCGCATGGTGACCGCAAGATCCTCCATCAGAGAGGAATGTGGCTCCGCCTTCAGGAGAAGATTGTCCAGATACCCCACAATCGAGATCCCCGACAGCGCATCAGTGCCAGAATTGGGGCCAACACCTTGGTGAACACTCAGGGGGCCGACGCCAGACCGAATAGCAGAGTCACAAACTGGAAGTGCTCCTCCCCCTTTGTGAAACGAAGGTAACGTTAATGGGAGACACAGATGGGAACATGGAGGTAGGCATCCTTTATGTCGATGGAAGCCATGAAATCCCCCTGATGGAGACACACCACCACGGATCTGATAGATTCCATGCGGAACCTGCGGACCCGCACAAAAGTGTTTAACCGTTTGAGGTCTAATATGGGACGAATCCCCTCTTTCTTCGGAATGGTGAAGAGATTTGAATAAAACCCCTTGAACCTCTCCGAGGAGGGCACCGGGACGATTATTCGCAGAGATAGGAGATCCGCCACCACGCAGTGAACATCCGCAAGTCTTTGTGGAGAAAGGCTCGTGTTGGAAGGAAAGAACCGTTCCCCCAAGCGCGACAGAAATTCTATTTTGTAGCCCGAAGACACCAGCTCCCGCATCCAGGTGTCCAAGACGTGGGACAGCCAAAGCTCCACAAAAAGTCGAAGACGGCCCCCCACCCTGGATTCCAGAGATGGGGGCTTGGGTTGCCAGGGACGCTTGTTGAATTTTCCGCCCTTCTCCGAGGACTGTGAAAAAGCCGATTGTGCGCAGAGAAAAGGACCGGGCTTCTGATGCTGATCCCTAGGCTTTTTAGCCTGAGGCAGGAAAGAACTCTTACCGCCCGCCAGATCCTTGATGATATATCATCCAGAGTCGCTCCCAACAAATGATCCCCGGTAAAGGGAAGTTCCGTCAGGGCCTTCTTGGAGGCCTGATCAGCCGACCAGCACTTGAGCCAGAGAAGAAGAGTAAGCGCCGACACTGACAGTTTGGGGGAGCATCCAGGGCCGAATGACATATTTCAGGCCCTGTACCAATTGTCCCACTAGTTCAATGTAGGCGGGAGAAACGTTCTCCTCCGCTAGACCCTAATGCAGCATCTTTGCCCATTCCGTCAGAGTCTGGGAGACCAGTGCCAAGGCCAACACCGGACCCATAAGAGCGCCGCAGGAGGGGACCCCCACTTAGTAAGGAAGGACTCCTCAAATGGATAGCGAACCGAGAAGCGCTTAGGGACTGTGAAGGACTCGCTTCCACTCCTTACAGACGAATTCATAAAAAAAGGGGAGGTAGGGAAAAACCTTAGTGGAATACGCGTCACAAATCAGTCCATAGTGGATGAAAACATTTCCAAAGATAGGGCAGGGTGTTGCCCGTGACACCGACCCCCCCACAAAGAACCTGAGGGGGGCAAGGGAGACTGGGAAAGGGTCGCAACTGTACAGGCCGTGCAAAGAGGGGAACGGGCAGAACCCTCCAGAGACCGCAGCCCTCGCAGGGCACCGCTGACAACTCGTCCCTGCAGTCCATGACCCAGGGTCACAGACCACTCTGCCCCCAGCAGAAAGGTAGAGACCCCAGGAGGTACTCACTGTCCCCAAAGGCTGTGGACGAGCTCCAGCAGTCCTCTCCAGGCAGCCCCACGGCCAGTCACCAGATCTGTCTCCTCCGCAGCAGCGTGTCCTCACAGCAGCTCTCCCCGATGAAAAGACCGCCTCACCCGCTGGGCACGGAGCATACAGGACGGGAGTGACGTCACCGAAGTGATCCCGCAGAAAGGGCACAGCCGCCCATAACCAAGATGGTGACAGCCTCCGACTAGGCCGCAACTGAAGCTGGGGACCCGATTTGCGTCCGCCCCTGCAAATGCGGCCGGCGAGCCAAATTCCGGCGACCGC